GCGGGGGCTCCCGGTACCGCCCGGGGCTCCCGGTACCGCCTGCGGGGGATCCCGGTACCGCCCGGGGCTCCCGGTACCGCCCGCTGGGGCTCCCGGTACCGCCCGGGGCTCCCGGTACCGCCCGGGGCTCCCGGTACCTCCCGCTGGGGCTCCCGGTACCGCCTGCGGGGGCTCCCGGTACCGCCCGGGGCTCCCGGTACCGCCTGCGGGGGATCCCGGTACCGCCCGGGGCTCCCGGTACCGCCCGGGGCTGGGGTCGGGAAGGGGCTCCCCCCCTCCCCCTGCCCCTGGAATCCGGGAATTGTTGGGTTCGGAGGGGACCCTGAAGCCGGCACCGAACCCACCGAGGGTGGCGGCAGCGGAGAGCCCGGCCCGGGGGGACACGAACACCCGGATCCATCCCGGATCCATCCCGGATCCATCCCGGATCCATCCCGGATCCCTGGGGATCCCTGATCCCAGTGATCCCCGATCCCAGAGTGATTCCTGATCAGTGATCCCCGATCTCAGCATGATCCTCAACACCAGCGTGATTCCAAATCCCAGAATGATCCCAGATCCCTGATCCCTGAGAATCCCTGATCCCAGGGTGATCCCCGACCCCAGGGTGATCCCCGATCCCTGATCCCAGCGTGATCCCAGTGTGATCCCTGATCCCGGCAGTGGCATTCCCGTGTTCCTGCTGCTGGCGGCCTCGGGGATGTCCCAGGTGCCTGGAGCAGCATTCCAGAGGGATCCGGAGGGATCCGGTGCCCTGGGAATGCCCGTGGATGCGCCGGGGTGAAGCCCTGGATGTCCCCCCATGTCCCCCCACTTCCCGGGGCCCTTCCAGGGGTTTTTCCCTCTCCGCCTTCCCGCTCCCCACGGTCCCTGTCCCGTGTCCCTCGCTCAGGGAGGAGCAGAAGGGCGTGGAGAACGGGGACCTGGACAAGGACAAGGACAAGGACAAGGACAAGGACAAGGTGAGTGCGGGCTGGCACCAGGCTGGCACTGGGCTGGAACCGGACTGGCACCGGGGTGGCACCGGGGTGGCACCGAGCCCTCGGTGCCCAGCTGCCCTTGGGGGGTCCTGTGGGGCACAGGGGGACACCCCAATCCCGGGACACCCCAATCCCAGGACACCCCAGTCCCGGGACACCACAATCCCGGGACACCCCAATCCCAGGACACCCCAATCCCGGGACACCCCAATCCCGGGACACCCCAATCCCAGGACACCCCAGTCCCGGGACACCCCAATCCCGGGACACCCCAATCCCAGCTCCCAATCCCAGCTCCCATCCCGGGGCTCCCCATCCCGGGACTCACCAAACCTGGGACACCCCAATCCCGAAGCTCCCAAATCCTGGGGGTCCCCAATCACAGCCCCCGTCCCGGGGCTCCCAATCCCCGGAATTCCCAATCCCAGCTCCCATCTCGGGAATTCCCAATCCCAATCCCGGGAATTCCCAATCCCAGTCCCGAGGCTCGCCCAATCGCAGGGCTCCCCCAATCCCGGGAATTCCCAGTCCCAGCTCCCATCCCAGGAATTCCCAATCCCAATCCCGGGAATTCCCAGTCACAGCTCCCATCCCAGGAATTCCCAATCCCAATCCCGGGAATTCCCAGTCCCAGCTCCCATCCCGGGAATTCCCAATCCCGGGAATTCCCAGTCCCAGCTCCCATCACGGGAATTCCCAATCCCAATCCCGGGAATTCCCAGTCCCAGCTCCCATCGCGGGAATTCCCAATCCCGGGAATTCCCAGGCCCCGCCGTGCCCGCAGATTCCCGGGCTGCGCTTCCTGCGCTGTCCCGCTGCCATGACCGTGCTGCACCTGGCGAAATTCCTGCGCAACAAGATGGATGTGCCCAGCAAGTACCGGGTGAGGGAGCGCCGGGAATGCCTGGGAATACCCGGGAATGGTGGGGAATGCCGGGGAATGCCGGGGAATGCCTGGGAATGGTTGGGAATGGTTGGGAATACTCGGGAATGGTGGGGAATGCTGAGGAATGAGAGGGAATGTCAGGGAATGCCTGGGAATGGTTGGGAATGCCTGGGAATGGTTGGGAATGGTTGGGAATGCCGGGGAATGGTGGGGAATGCCTGGGAATGGTTGGGAATGGTGGAGAATGCCTGGGAATGGTGGGGAATGCCTGGGAATGGTTGGGAATGCCTGGGAATGGTTGGGAATGGTGGGGAATGCCTGGGAATGGTGGGGAATGGTTGGGAATGGTTGGGAATGCCCGGGAATGCCTGGGAATGGTTGGGAATGCCTGGGAATGGTTGGGAATGGTTGGGAATGCCGGGGAATGGTTGGGAATGCCTGGGAATGGTGGGGAATGGTTGTGAATGCCCGGGAATGCCCGGGAATGCCTGGGAATGGTTGGGAATGCCGGGGAATGGTTGGGAATGCCGGGGAATGGTTGGGAATGCCTGGGAATGGTGGGGAATGGTTGTGAATGCCCGGGAATGCCCGGGAATGCCTGGGAATGGTTGGGAATGCCGGGGAATGGTTGGGAATGGTGGGGAATGCCGGGGAATGCCAGGGAATGCCGGGGAATGTCTGGGAGTGCCAGGGAATTTGAGGGAATGCTCGGGAATGGTTGGGAACACTTGGGAATGCTCAGTAATTCTCGGGAATGCTTGGGAATGCTCGAGGGGCACTGTCCGGGGTTTGCCATGCCCTGCTCAGCTCGGAGGCGCCGTTTTGGCCATTCCTGCTGATCCCTGCCTGTCCCAAATATCCCTGCCCCGATATCCCGAATATCCCGAATATCCCTGTCCCGATATCCCAAATATCCCTGCCCCGATATCCCGAATATCCCTGTCCCGATATCCCGAATATCCCTGCCCTGCTATCCCGAATATCCCTGTCCCGATATCCCGAATATCCCTGCCCTGATATCCCGAATATCCCTGCCCTGCTATCCCGAATATCCCTGCCCTGCTATCCCGAATATCCCTGTCCCGATATCCCGAATATCCCTGTCCCGATATCCCGAATATCCCTGTCCCGATATCCCGAATATCCCTGTCCCGATATCCCGAATATCCCTGCCCTGCTATCCCGAATATCCCTGCCCTGATTGCTTTCCCTGGGGCTGGATCCTTCCTTTTTCCATGGCCGGATCCGTCCTTTGGATGTGTCTCCATCTTTTTCCCATGGCCAAATCCATCCTTTCCCTGGATCTGTCTCCATCCTTTCCCTGAGTTTGGATCCATCCTATTCCCATGGCCAGATCCTTCCTTTTCCCATGGCTGGATCCATCCTTTCCCCATTCCCACCCTTTCCCAGGGTTTGGATCCATCCTTTTCCCATTCCCACCCTTTCCCTGCTGCAGGTGGAGGTGCTGTACGAGGACGAGCCCCTGAAGGAATATTACACCCTGCTGGACATCGCCTACATCTACCCCTGGAGGAGGGTGAGGAACGGCCGGAAAACCGGGAATATCTGGGCTGGGAATGCTGGGAAAAGCTGTTCTAGGGGGAAAAAAACTGGGAAAATTTATCCAGGGAGAAACTGGGGAAAAAACTGTGCTGGGGAAATCTGGGAAAATCAGTCCTGGGGAAACTGGGAAAAATGGAAATATCTGTGCTGGGGAAAATGGGAAAATCTGTGCTGGGGAAAATGGGAATATTTGTTCTAGGGGGAAAAACTGGGAAAATTTATCCATGGAGAAACTGGGAAAATCTGTCCTGGGGGAGCCTTTCCAGCAATAAATCCCAGAGTGGGGGGATTTTCCTGACAGGGGCGTTTGCTCCGGGTGGGATTTTCGGGATCCCCGGTGGCGGGGGTGGCAGTGCCGGTGTCCCCAGGGTGTCCCCAAGGGGTGGCAGTGTCTCTGTCCCCGCGGGGGTGGCAGTGTCGCTGTCCCCAAGGGGGTGGCAGTGTCGCTGTCCCCCGGGGGTGGCAGTGTCTCTGTCCCCAAGGGGGTGGCAGCGCCGCTGTCCCCAAGGGGGTGGCAGTGCCGCTGTCCCCCGGAGGTGGCAGTGTCGCTGTCCCCCGGGGGTGGCAGTGCCGCTGTCCCCCGGGGGTGGCAGTGTCGCTGTCCCCAAGGGGTGGCAGTGCCGCTGTCCCCCGGGGGTGGCAGTNCTGGGAATGATCCCAATCCCCAGGAACGATCCCAAGCCTCAGGAACGATCCCAATCCTTGGGAACGATCCCAATCCTTGGGAACGATCCCAATCCCCGGGAATGATCCCAATCCCTGGGAATGATCCAAATCCCTGGGAATGATCCCAATCCCCAGGAACGATCCCAATCCCTGGGAATGATCCCAATCCCTGGGTCTCATCCTCGGTTCAACCTTTGCAAACCTCGGGTCTGCCTTTGGGAGTGAACAAACGCTGCAGGCGCCTCCCTGCAGGGGCGGCTGCCCAGAGCCTCCTGAGAAATCCCACAGATCCCACAGAGCCTCCTGAGAAATCCCACAGATCCCAAATCCCACAGATCCCACAGAGCCCAAACCCCACAGACCCTTCCATCCGGCCCAAATCTCCCAGGTCCCTCTGTCCTGCATCCCCTGCATGGGTCCCTCCATCCCAAATCCTTTGGGTTCCTGTGTCCTGCATCCCATAGAACCCTCCATCCCAAACCTCTCCGGTCCCTCCACCCCAAACCCCACAGGTCCCTCCATCCCAAATCCTGTGGGTTCCTTTGTCCTGCATCCCCCAGGTCCCTCCATCCCAAACCTCTCAGGTTTCTCCATCCCAAACCCCACAATTGCCCCATCCCAAACTCCCCAGGTCCTTCCATCCCAAATCCCACAGGTCCCTCCATCCCAAATCCTGTGGGTTCCTGTGTCCTGCATCCCATAGAATCCCTCCATCCCAAACCTCTCAGTTCCTTCCATCCCAAACCTCTCTGCTCCCTCCACCCCAAACCTCTCTGGTCCCTCCACCCCAAACCTCTCCGGTCC